GGACTCGACTCGTGTTGGTTCCGGCGGTGTGGTGCGTCGCCAGGCCGTTGACGTGTCGCCAATGCGTCGTGTGAACGAGGCGATCTACCTCATGTGCAAGGGTGCTCGCGAGGCCGCGTTTCGCAACCTCAAGACGCTTCCTGAGTGCCTTGCCGACGAGATTGTGAACGCATCGAAGGGAAGCTCTAACTCCTACGCCATCAAGAAGAAGGATGAGGTGGAGCGTGTTGCCAAGGCCAACCGGTAAGCGAGAAGGTGGGGTCAATGCAAAGGTCATCTGTTGGTTTGTTTGTTCTTCATTTTTTTGAGTTTTTACTCTACCGTTTTTTTTTTTTTGCTCTGTTCCTGTTGTGAGTCTGCTGCTGATAATTTTTGCGGCAGAAAGGAGTTTATTATTACTATTTCGTATTGGACTGCTGTTGCCGAATACGTTGCCACCTTACCTCTTCATGGATTGTGACTAGGAAAAAAGGACAAGTGATGAGCACAAAGGCCCCGAAGTTGTTCAACAAATGGTCGTTTGAGAATCTCCAGACGACGGAGATTGCTCTTAGCGACCACATTTCGAAGACTGCAACGTATGTGCCGCACTCCGCAGGCCGCTGGCAGAAAAAGCGTTTTCGCAAAGCCCGCATCCCTATTGTGGAACGCCTGACAAACGGCCTAATGTTTAAGGGTCGCGGCAACGGCAAGAAGCTCCAGGCCGTGCGCCTTGTAAAGCACACACTTGAGATCATCCACTTGCTGACTGACCAGAACCCCCTCCAGGTGGTGATTGATGCCGTGTCGAAGGGTGCGCCTCGTGAGGACTCGACTCGTGTTGGTTCCGGCGGTGTGGTGCGTCGCCAGGCCGTTGACGTGTCGCCAATGCGTCGTGTGAACGAGGCGATCTACCTCATGTGCAAGGGTGCTCGCGAGGCCGCGTTTCGCAACCTCAAGACGCTTCCTGAGTGCCTTGCCGACGAGATTGTGAACGCATCGAAGGGAAGCTCTAACTCCTACGCCATCAAGAAGAAGGATGAGGTGGAGCGTGTTGCCAAGGCCAACCGGTAAGCGAGAAGGTGGGGTCAATGCAAAGGTCATCTGTTGGTTTGTTTGTTCTTCATTTTTTGAGTTTTTACTCTACCGTTTTTTTTTGCTCTGTTCCTGTTGTGAGTCTGCTGCTGATAATTTTTGCGGCAGAAAGGAGTTTATTATTACTATTTCGTATTGGACTGCTGTTGCCGAATACGTTGCCACCTTACCTCTTCATGGATTGTGACTAGGAAAAAAGGACAA